ATACCTTGCTCGCCAGCTTTGGCTTTCTCGGTAGAGAGTGTTCGCACTACGTCAATAACCTCCCAACGAGACAACTTCCTAATCTCTTCTTCAGGAACTTTGAATTTTCGAAGCAATTCTTTCGCGCGTTGCAATGGAAGACGACGCAAATCAGCGTCTGTGCCAGTGACTGTACGCTTTGGCTGTGACTCTTGCTCTTCTTTAGTTTGCTGTAGGGCGAACAAAATCCTTATTTGAATTACAAATTTCTAATATGACCCAGCAACTCACTGTTGGCTTATTCGGCACGCGCACGTACGAAAACCCTTCACCGCACCCTGTTGGGTCAGCTGGTCCCGTTAATTGTAGCAGACATTTACCACGCATGGCTTGAATGTAGGCACTATAAAAATGAAAAGTTTTAATACCATCTAATGTTTGAAATCAATTTAGTGCCTACCGGGTGGTATTCCATGGGGCTACCTTAACTTCATCGNTAAAAGTTTTAATATCATCTAATGTTTGAAATAAATTTAGTGCCTACCGGGTGGTATTCCATGGGGCTACCTTAACTTCATCGTCCAACTTCAACTGTGCTTCTTCGTCGTCATCTTCTTGTGGCGCGAATAAAAATTTTTCGCCATAGCCAGCATCTTTCAAACGTTGTTCGGCTGCAATCATGCTGAAGAACGCGCAGCATTGTTCCGGTGAGACCATTGCCCGTATTTCTTCCTCAGACGGCAACCGAAATTCCGGCTTGATAACCCACCAATTGGAGTCCATTCCGGTACGCTTAAAATCAGCACATTGCTTCAAGCGTTTACGTATGCTACTTTCTGAGTGTGCTGGAAACGCACGCTTAATGTCATCCATGCGTATGCGTCGCGGATTATCACGACTCTTCCAAAATAGCCGGTAAATGAATACCTGAAATTAAAAGTTATTAAACAACTTTTGACACTACTGCAGTTTTGCGTACCTGCAAAAAGTCCCTTGTAAAATTATTTGCGCGCTTCGAATTAGGACCGGGTACCTCGTAAATCGGGCATTCTTGCCCTACGGTAAACAACGCGTTCACAGCTCGTATCCAATAATTGCTCCGGTTACGAATCACAAGGAAGTCTGTTGGATTAATATTGTGTGGATAGATCGGTGCACGATACATATTATTTTCTAGCGCTTGTATACAATGACCAGGGTGCAGTATTCCCAAAAACGGACTGGTGTGAGCAAATGCGACTTCACCGTATTTAAAGTCCTGAGGTCCATTATCCTTCGCCGCTTTTCGTTTGTAGTAGTTTTTGATTTTGGAACACATACCAACCTAAAGAAATAAGTATTTTAAGTATTTATAAAATACTTATTATATTCTCTGCCTTACTTGGTTCATCAACGGTGGATGTTCTTCACAAAATTCGCACAAAATTATGTCGCCGTCTTTGCCGCTCAAGTCCTCAGGATTGCGCATAAAGAACACATCTCCGCCGCCGGAAGCGATGCGCTCAAGTTCGCGTTGTTTAGCCTTTTTGGCTATATACTTCAGCAATGGGAGCACGGCATGCGGTCCTGGCGACGCCAATGGACCATGGGAGAAACGTTTCAGTGGCGGACGGTGGAAAGCACGCAATTTCATCGGGCCCATATAAGTCTACACAGTTAATTAAGTAAAATGCAAGTTTGTCTTTAGAAATAAATGCACTAACCGGTATAAATGGAGAACGCAATTCAACAACTGGCGTGGAATGTTGTATCAAATTGCCACCACCCACTTTAAGACGCAATGTTGGTTCAGTTTTCGGCTGGTAATAGCTTTAAGATATTAGTGGTGTTAATTTTGTATTTCAATTGAATTCGTGTGATTTAACTTACGAATCATTCGAAATGTTAAATGGATCACGATCTGGGCTCTTCGGTGGTGGCGGTGGAGTATCTTCTGCTAGGACGTTAATAACGCCTGCTTTGCCTAACAAGATCTTTGATTTCTTAACATGTGGATGTGGTATTTTAATTTTCGGTGGAGGACCCGTATTTTTGCTGATTTTGGATGGATCGATATCATCGGGTATGCCAAGAATGATGTTCTCATCGTTTGGATCAAGTGTAAGTACCTTAGGTTTTGGTACTTTAGTCATCTGTTCAGCATCCCAAATGATTTCATCTTCCCATTTTCCATAAATCAATTCTTCATTCTCAACAGGGAAAATGCTATACCACGTATCGTCAACAGCTTCTGGTGGCTTACTTTGCATTCTGAAATAATTTGAATTAACAAACTGATTTTACTTATAATAACACTGATTTTTACCACATACATTTGACTAGCTTTCTTGCTAGAAGAGGTGCCACCACTACCTTGTTTGCCGCCCTGTGTGTTTCCCGACACGGGCATTGTTTTGCCAGGCTGACTGAATGCACCAGCAGTGCGTGATCCGCTCGATGGCAACCAGCCAGCGGCGATTGTTTTTGAATTTAGTTTTTGCAACACCTTTGCTTTAATATCGTTGCCATCCCATACAACCTCATCTTCCCAATGCAGTTGTGAAACCATCAAAAACGCATCATCTGCTATCGGTTCACCCTTTATTTCTATATCGTCTTCGACTGGAACTACTGCTTGACTGTCGGATACACCTCCCTTTTGTGAAGTCATGTGCTTATTTTTAAAACCGTAATTGAAACCTTCCCCAGAATCTGGTACATCTAACATGTCGTACCAGATCTGAGCGGGTCCATAACGCCAGTCGGCGATTTTTGGTTTATTTTCGTTATTTTCTCCACTTTCTGGTCCTTCGGGTTTTACATCTTCACTGTTTGTAATACTTAGTAATTTATCTTCATCGTCGGACATACATTGGTAAGGCATTGCGTCGAGACCATAATGAAGACCAAACCCTTTTTTCTTCGGCTCCTCTGAATCACTCGTGGAGTCAGATCCAGCGTTTGGGTTCTAGTATAAAATACTAATAAAATATATCTTGAAAGGTAACATTAAAAAAAAAAAACTGTACTTTCTGGTCCCTAGAATGCTTTCTGCGCCGCCTCCTTTTTTTAACGCTGCGCCAAATCTGTGGTAAACTTGACGGCTTTCCTGGCCCGAAAAGTCGGGAAAAGCGCAACACTTTATCAGGTCGAAAGTCTGGAAACAATTCTCTCACGTCCACATTGGCATATTTAGATGGGAGCATATCTGCTAAGGGTGTATCCAACTTGCGTTCTGTAGCTAATATAAAAATATATCTTTAAATTTATTCTATTTACATTTTCAAGAAACCTACGTTTCACTGATTTTGTTTCTGAATTCAAACTATCGGGACCATTTGCTTTAACTGATCCATCTACATTATTGCTGCTAGTTGATACACTGCGAATCGGTGCTAGAGGAGGGGGCATCAATTCCTTATCATCTTTGGTGAGACCTAAAATGTTACTATATAATTCCCATAAATTTGCAAATTGAAGTTATTTACTTGAAGTCTCGACTTTTGTAGCGGGTATTGCATCCTCTAGATCTTCAAGCATATTTGCATCATTTGGGGGCGGCGTCCTTGGGCAATCTTCGGAAAGCTCATTAATGTCTGAGTAGTCGATAGCATTATCATGCTTCACAATTTCACCATCGTCCTCGTTATCAGCTTCATTACCATCAGTGCTTGAAAACCCTGCCTTCAATGCGTCAAAATCACTCATTGGATGTTTAGGTGGATCTGCTTCGTCTAGTTCATCCTTTTCAGTCTCTATTACTTCATTTAGCATTGAATTCAGTCCCAATCTGCAAAAAATATTTCTAATAACAATTGATAATTAGTCTCAAAGCACTTACTTGGACAGTGAACTGATGTGTTCACGAAATTCTGGATCGAAGGGATTGCCGTTATCATCATCCACCAACTTTCCTTCAGAGTCTATATTTCCAAAAAGAATTCCGGTTAAATCGAATCCAAAGCCTCCGCCGGCGCAACTATCAGCAGAGCCTCCTCCACCACGGCCAGTCGAGCCATCGTCATCACTATCCGAACTCATTTTAAATCGGAAATTTTACAGTTGAGCTTTATGTATTGATGTTTAAGAGCTTATGGGAATACACAATTCAATATATTACACAAAAAAGGAAAAACTGCCAAGAAAAACAACTTTTACTGAAAAACTGAAATATAACTTTTGCAGTAGTGCTGCAAAACTATCGATGGCACTATCGATATTATCGATAGTTATAATTTGTCACTACTATCGATGAATGGTGGTTACTATCGCGATACCATCGGATATATTTTTTCATCGCCTTTTTATTCCGTTGTCCGATTTCAATTATAATTCTACTACTACGACTACAAATTCCTCCAAAATTCTGGAAATGATAGCGATTTTTGGAGAGTTGTGTAGAGAATGAAGTTGCAAAATTTTACCCGAACTTTTTTCTTCTGGTAAAATCATGAAAAGTGTCAAGCGATCACTGGTTGACGTTTTTACAGGAAAAATACTTTTTTTGTTCCCGTACTTTTTGTTGTTACTCACTTTTTACTCTCATTTCAGAGAGTAATTTTGCTGTTTGACATTTTTACAGGATTTTATACAAAAAAGTATTGGATCAGAGCTAGTAGTATATATCGTCGCTCGAATAAAGAAACAGTGTAAATGCCACGTACACTATTATTCGATAATTGCACCATTGGATAGACAATCCTTTAAACTATTAGAAAAATCTTTAGTTTTCTTAAATATTTCTTTGGCTAACTAATTTATTCCCGAAAAACGAAATTGTATTTGTATGGTTTGTAATGCTTTATAAAAACTTCCAATTCGTTTTTTTCAAAACTATACTTTTCATGTTACACTATTTCATTATTCCAGCGATGATATGTTCTTGTGTAGTTGGATCATGTCAGTATGTGAGAAACAGCATGCTTCGTACTTTTTCGCGTACGTTTCTCGCATGCGTCGTCACGAAAACGAGATTTGCCAGCACGTAAAGAAGGCCGGTAAAGAAAAGCACTGAATTTAGTGCGAAAAGCAAAAGGTTGGCAACAGTGTCGATAACAAACTGTCAATCATTTTTGTTTTGATCCGAGGAATCGCGTCTACGCTCGTTTTGACGTCTTTGAATTGTTTTGATGTAACGACGTGTTTGAAGCAATTTTAGGAGGCAATATTTGTTCCAATTTAACAATATTAAAATGAAAAGATTCGACTACGGGAAACGCTTTAAATCAATGTTAAACCGTGAAATCGCTTTGGAAAAGCACGAAATTGCACTGAGCAAATTAAGTTCTAAGTACCACGAAAAACTGGGTGAGCATCCGAAGCTATTGGAATATGAATGGAGAAACGTAATAATAAATTAACTTTATATTAGAAAACTTGGAAATTCGTTATGCGCAACAGAAAAAGAAATTTTATAACATTAAACAATGCATACAACAGCGCCGACAAAATTACGATCAGTTAGAAGAGATGATAAAATACTACTCGCAGTTGGTGGAAACAACCGAAAATCGCCTAAGGTTACTTTTTTCACCGTTGGATGAGTAAGATTTTTGTAAATTTAGTTCAAAAAATACAAGGTATTAATTTGTATTTTACCACTTAGAATACATTCGTTAAAACTAGCCACCAATACCTTCATTAACTTGCGAGCTCTTCCTGAAAGAATACAGGGTGTTTCAGTACGAACAACAAAATATAGTCCTAGCTGGAATCCATTCTGCGTTGAGCCTCTCAGTCATACGCCAGAAGAGCTACAAAAGATTATATGGGGTGATTCAGAAAATGCTGCATCTTATAGTGAAGCTTGGGAGCAATTAGTATTTCGTTCCGTACGCGAAATGCTGCAAAAAAAGAGCTGAGCACCGAAGAATTTCAATATTAGTTAATTTTATGATAATTTTCTGATAAGATATTGTTAAGCTAAATACATAGGTATATTAAAGTAATTTCGAAACTATCCAAATATTTAACTATAAATCAGCTTTATAATTTTGGAAACAACATATAAATTCAACATTTTGTGCACAAGTTTTGTTTTAGATGTTATCTCTACATTAAACTAATAAACATGTACAATCTAATAACATCGTAATATTTTTCCAATAGCGGTCACCGCTCTGGAGATTGAAGCCTGGCCAAGCACCTAAAGAAATATGTTGAGCGCTATAATGTTTTTTAAGAAATTCTAAGTTTCATCAAAGTTTAATTAAGATGGCATGATAGTGCGCCAAGGTCTACAAGGTTTGATAATTTGGAAAATTTACCAGAAGTCACCGAAAGAAAAACGTACAGAAAAGAGCACTGGAATTACATGTCTTTTATTGTACAATAGTCACATAACTTAGCTCATCACTATTGTGATTTCTAGTGCGTCGCAAAATATGCCCCATAGTTCGATTTTAAGTGCTATAAAAATACACAAAAACTTAAAAATGTGTATTGTAGCGCATATCTGTCGAAGTGGCAAACTTTGAGGCGCAGTAGAAATCACAGCAGTGATAAGGGCCGTATGAATAAAAAATAAGCAATTGCTTTTTCTTAAAATTTCAGATCTTTTACTCGATTTATTCAAACAAAATAGTAGAGAAGAAATTTTAAGAAAAATCAATTGCTTAGTTTTATTCATACGGCTATGCTACTACCTGTTTGATACGCAGCCAGCAAGGAAAAGTACGTTTTGTGTACCATGCAAGGCACATTAAACAGGTAATATCAGTAGAGCAAAAACAACATTTGCGTGTATTTTGTTGTTGCTTCCGGTATCGAAAGTGTCAAAAACTGTTCTGAATTTTTTCTTCTAAATCAAAGCGTGCCATGTGAAATACAAAAAATTATAAAAAATAAATAATTGAAATTGGAAAAAATAAAAATTGTTGCAACTTTCTTTCCTAGTAAATTTGTTTCCTTCTCGAAGCATTGATCCATCCTTTACAAGGGCCAGTAATCAGCGGTTGTGCTGCTGAGTTGGGCGAACGTTCCAAAAGCTGCTATTCAATCGCTTGTTTTGTATGGAAAAAGGTTTCACATCCAAATGGATTTTAACAATTCAGAATTTTTGTGAGAAAAAATTAAAAATATTTGACATTTTCGAGACCAAATAATTTGAAAATAAATCAAATCAGCCGCTCTACTTATACTATCTGTTCAATGTACCTTGGTACCATGATAAAAATATAGTAAGGTAGAACAACAAACAATTTAATTTTTAAATTTACTCACAAACTCACACATTTTCATTTCCAATCTCAAGCAACAACAATTTCGAACAATTTCAATTTTTTATTTTCACTTTTATATGATTTTAAAATGTTGGCAAACTTCAAAAAAAAAATCATGGCCGACAAAATGAGAGAACGGTTGTACCTTGCTATGTTTTTATCATGCTTGGTACCATGCGTTTTTCGTACATTTTTTTATCCGTAAAACAACAGAAATTCATCGGTTATTGAAAATTCGGCATTGCAAAGTATATTATACTTTTCTCAAAAGAAAACTTCAGCAACCGTATTTTAAAAATTTCAAAATTGTGGAGGAAAAAATTAAATTGAGGAACGCGAGTAGACTCCTTCAACGTTGAAAACATTTAATACGTTTGTATGAGTGATGAGTATGCAACTACTTGTATGCAGGTGGAGTAGGAACTAATACCATAATAACTAGTACGATAATTAATTTTGTTACTAAAATTCAAAAACTCGATACTCGTTTTATACTACACAGCAATTTAGTTTTGGGCTTAGATGATTTCTTCACCTCTCTTCTTAAATCATCTCTCCTAGGGATTTTGAAATCGAGCACACTAAGCTTAAGTTCGGATATTCAAGAACACTGTTTAGAAAATATTTCTGGGAAAATTGTACATTTTTTACATAATAGTGCCAATTCTTTTATTCCTGTAATGATAAAAGATATATCAATAAAATAAAATGTAATTTTAAATTTTACTATTTACATATTGCAGAACTGATTAAAATCAACATTGTTAATGTCGACAAATTCGTCAAAACTTGCTGACGGAGGGTTATTACGGTCAGCGTGGCAGAATGTCTTTTTTTTGGAAGGCTACCAATACAAAAAGAATGCGTAATCGGATTGGCAACAACTGTAGCAATTAGAAGTATTCAATGGAATTCTTCTATGTAAGGTGCATTCATCGAGAAATTTTTTCCGGTATGCGCATGACCGCCGGAGAAAATTGTTAGCTTATCACAAAAAAAAAAAAAAAAAAANGAGCGTAAATTCCGCAGGGTTGTCACTGCTGCTGCAGCTCCCTTTGTACCAGCAGGATGCATTATGGACCCCCGTCCAAACTTCTCTGCTGAAGCGGCTGTTCTAGCGGATGAGCGTGACAACCTTCGTCAGGCCGATCCCGGAAATACCCGTATCAGGGATCTCAACGCGGAGATTCGGCTGCTTGTGCACGAGCGCTCAAACAGTTGCAATGGCCGACAGAGCAAAGTCCTGGAGTGCTAGTCGAGAGATGCAAGGTTCGAGTCCCAGAGCAGGAATTTTTTTGAAATATTTTTTTTTTATTATTTATTTTTTAATTGTAATTTTTTAAATTGTATTTAAAAAAAATTATCTAATTTACTCTAGTATTTAGGTTTTTCCGTATATGAAACTAATTTTACAATTTGTAATTTATATTTCAATTGAAATATCAGAACCAGAACCAGTAGTCTTCACGCGACGTCATAGCCGAAAATTGCCAGGAAAGCAATTAACTTTGTCCTAAAAGCACTGACAATATTCAAAATTATTTAAGGAAATTATTACTTATATTGAGGAAATTCTTACTTATATTGAGTAAATTTACTTCCTCAAATTAATGACGCCATATTTTTAGCATGAACCTTAATTAAAGAAAAACTTATCAAATTGAGTAAATGTTTCGTAATATTAAAAAAAAGCAGTATCTCTAAAATAAGGATACTATTTTCCTGTTTTAAAGAAATGCCTTTTTCTTAGTGTATGTTGCAGCAACCTACGATGAATACTTTCCGAGATATGTTGTGTGAAAACTTTAGTTTGTATGGGAGGTGCCACGCCCCTTGATACATCGAAATTATTATTATTCTATTATCATCCTTCAAGGGTCTAGAGTCGATGTTAAAAATTTCAAAAAGATTGGTACAGCTGTTCTCGAGTTTTTCGATTAGGAAAAACGGATTTCAAAAGCAGTATAGACGCGAAATTTAATTATATTTTATTTAAAAACAGAAATTTGAAATCGGTTCATATATGGGCTCTCAAAATGGATTTGTCCACATCAACATTTTTTGCCCCACTGTGCGGCGTAGGGATGGCAAAGTCGGCATTGACTTTCGACCAAAATCGACTTTTTGCTTCTAAAACTCGACTTCTAATGATCGAATTTCAATTTATGCAAGTAGACTGAAGTCGACTTTTCACTGTCGATTTTCGACTTTTTTAAATTCATTTGCATTAGCAATTCTTAATTTAAAACGTTTCTTCTAACAATAGCGCCGAATGCTGTTTTCTATTATTTAAAAAAAAAAAATTACCAATAAAACTTAAGCGAAATGAAAAAATATGGTAGAGAAATGAATCTTTATAACAGTACAACAGCGTTGCCAAATCACCTAAGAGCAGCGCATAAAATTATAATACGAAAACAAATTCCTACGAATTTAAAAAGAATGCGACATACTTGTGTGGATGAAAGTAGGATTGTTAATCGTTTTCCTCCAGAATCTTAAGTTAATAATGAAGTAAGATGTATCTAGCTGTTTATTTTAAAAATTTCATGCAAGAAAGTTTTTCATTAGAGAACGTGAGTGATATGGACATGAACAGACAGTCTTTGGTTTGAATTTCACCAATCCGCAACGGATACAATTTTCAATACCGATCAAGCTATTGCTGGTGTCTTTGAGATGCGATATTGTTTAAAGCAGGGGGGTGCTCGAGCCCCCCCCCTAACTTTGAAATTTTCCTTATATATATATAAAATAGTACCCTGAAATGCCAGCTTAATAGGGTCGAGCCCCATTGAATTCCCGGAAAGCACTTTGACCAACTCGTATTTTTGCGTAGTTTGGACGCAAAATGAGTAAATTGGTTTCACTTTAAAATTCATATGTACACTCAGAAAAAACATTCGTTGATGGTAGGAAAAAGTATATTATTCAAAGGAAATATTACTTTGAAATAGCTCAAAAGAAATGGCTACCTTAATATGAGTAAACGATTTAACTCAGTTTATGGAAAACACAATTCCTTAGTTTTCAGTACTATTTTCTTTCTTCTTAGGAAAAATTAACTTGCCATGAAAGGAATAAGTATGTCATTTTGCTCGCGGCGCTCAAACAGTCGCAATGGCCGACAGAGCAAAGCTCTGGAGTGCTAGTCGGGAGAAAAAAATACTTAAACAAAAAATTGCCAAAAAGTAGTGGTAAGCCTAAGCTACTTCAAACTTGCACTGAAATTTATACTTTAGCGAGAAATGGATCCGTAAGGTGGCACTCAAGTCAGGATATCCAGGAAAAACGTATTTATGATCACACTCTGTAGAAATTTAAAATGTAAATTCCATATGTGAAGAGAAATACCTCTACGTGAAATGGGTCTCTTAGGTGGCGCTGGAGGCGGGATTTCCAGAAAACCAATACTTATTTTGTGATTACGGTGACCATCCGTCTTTTATTTTACGGGACAGTCCCCTTTTTTGACCAATTGACCTAATAATTTATTTATTTTATACGGGACACCCAATTTTCTGTATTTCTTTTAATTTCCTCAATTTGTCCCGTATTCGGTGTTCGGTATTTCGGCGCCTTAATAGCTCATTAAAATTGCATGCCTATGGACCAGTTTTAAGTGATGTTGGTATATGGTAGTAATTTTCCTTATAAACAGTTATTATTTTTTAGTCTGGATGCTTGTGATTCGAATCGAGGAACACGTACAGTGACCCAAATATAAAATAGGACTCGACATTTCAGGAAGATTTTTAGCTATTTTTCTTTAGTTTTTTTTTGTTATTTATGGCCCTTATAACAATCATATTCAACATTATTTCTACAACAATTTTCTTATAAAACAGCCCCTAGCTCAATAATATTGTTGAATGTTCTAAAGGCCATAAATAACAAAAAAA